ACTTTTACTTTTACTGGAGTAATATTTTATTATATGTATCTGTACTTTTACTCAAGTACTTGATTTGTGTACTTCCACCACTGCTTTTTAGTCTAATTCTGTGGGGATAAGACTATTGTACCAGTCGCACTGAAACATTTCAAATGATTCCAAATAGGGCTGTGCAATATATCGAAATGATCGAAATATCGCAAATGTACATATATGCATATCGCTACAGCTTGCAATATTTGGGGCCATGAACAAAAGACAAAGAGAAAATCACTCACTGCTCTTACCTAAATAACTGTTGTAGCTTAAATAAGAATCGGTGCATCTTGAATTCATAGAGTAAATACTAAGCAGTGTTGTATTTTTCCTTTTTATTATTCAGTTCCTAAACTCATGTTAAAATGATTACACTAATGTTTGAAATTTTGACATTTTTCAAAGTTGAAATTTTTATGTAATGCTCGAGTAAAACACTACCGTTCACTTTCAGAAGTTGTTGTAGGGATGCTTTCTTATTAGAATCAGAATCAGAATGAGCTTTATTCACCACTTAAGTGTGCCACTTAAGGAATTTGTTGTGGTTTTACAGAAACTCTTGGTACATACATACATACAAATAACCATATATATACAGTATGACACAAGATCGTTATAGAAGTTCACAGAACTGACTCAGCAACAGCTGAGTAAAACTGTTTCATCTGAGCATGTGGCACTTTAAGCATTATCATATCGCATATCGAATATCGCATTATTTAATGAGATATCGCATATCGCATTTTTCTTCAATATCGCACAGCCCTAATTCCAAACATGAAAATAACTTGCATTCACACGCAACATTATACACAGAACATATACGCATATTGAGTAAACCGAGTGAAGGGAAAGATGGGTAAAGGGAAAGAAGTGGGGGAGAAGGAACAAATGTGAAAGAAGGACAGGACACTCAAGTCTGGACTGCAAAATGCCCCAATTACATTCTGCGGCTTTGCCTAATATGTCCTTTCTTTACAATTCTTTACATATTATTTTGCCTAATATGTCCTTTTTGCCTTTAAATAGGCAAAAGCTAAAATTAATTAAAAAAATAATGCTAAACTTGTAAATGTTTGGATGAAAGGTGTGTCCCATATGAGTAATTTTATGCGAAATGATCATGTTTATGGTTATGATCATGTGTTGTGTTCTGATCAGAGTGTCCACAAGCAGCAGCAATTGCAACACCAGCAATTTCAGCAGCAGATGGAGGAAAAGTTGGAGCTCCTGCAGCGGCAGCAGCTCATTTTTCAGCCACCCACTGATCTGCCTCCTGACACTGACTTCCTAGAGGCAGCCCATACCCGCTCTGAGAGCTCCACCCACAGCAGTCCCAACATCACACCACGAGCATCCAACCATTCCAACATGTCCCAGTCTGAGATGGGTCATTCGGCTAATGAGCACGAGGATGCTGGTCAGCAAATGATAATTCCAGTAGTGCATTGCCATTTAATCTTGTTTTTCAAATTTGCCTATATTGGTTGACTTCTGTTTTCTCGTCTTTAATTTCAGAAGATGAATCCAATATTGTCAGAATTGGAAACATCACATTCAACCCCAGAGATGTACTTGGACATGGTGCTGAGGGAACTATTGTGTACAGGCAAGTTACATTTACATTTTTTCATTAAGCAAACGCTTTTATCCAAAGCAACGTACCAATGAGGAATACAACAAGCGATTCATTATAAAGAGGTAATTAAACAAGAAAAGTACCCATAATACAACGTTTCAGGGATCGTTCAGAATAGCACAAGATAGAATAGAGAGGAATTAAGGAAATGAAAGCATAGTTTTTTTGTTTTTTTTTTCAATAGGATGCTCTCACAAGAGATGAGTTTTCAGCAATCTCTTGAATGTTGTCAGGGATTCTGTGTTCTGGATGGGGTTGGAAAGATCATTCCACCAGCAAGGAACGGTGAACGAAAATGTTGTGGAAAGTGATTTTGTGCCTGTGTGTGATGGCACCATGAGGTTGTAGATTTGTAAGAATGGATGGTGCTGAGCCTGTGGCTGTTCTATATGCAAGCATCAATGTCTTGAACTTTATGCGATCTGCAAGCGCTAGCCAGTGGAGAGGGATAAAGAGAGGCGTCACGTGAGCTCTTTTGGACTTGTTGAAGACCTTTTGTGCTGCTGCGTTCTGAATCATTTGTAGAGGTTTGATTGCAAATGATGGAGGTTCAGCCAGAAGAGCATTGCAATAGTCCAGCCTAAAAATGACAAGGGCCTGGACAAGAAGTTGTGCAGCATGATCTGTTAGGAAGGACCTGATCTTCCAGAGAATGACCTTTGTCATCTCAGGCATTATTTTTGGTAATTTGCTTTCATTTTTTCTGATTCAGTCTATAGTCTTCTCTCTGTGTAATTTCAGGGGTCAGTTTGATAACCGTCCAGTGGCTGTGAAGAGGATTCTCCCAGAATGCTTCAGCTTTGCCGACCGTGAGGTTCAGCTGCTGCGTGAGTCAGACGAGCATCCAAATGTGATTCGTTATTTCTGCACAGAGAGAGACCGTCAGTTTCAGTACATTGCCATAGAGTTGTGTAGCTCCACACTACAAGAGGTATGACAAACACCACAAAATTACATTTCATTGTTTTCAGGTTAAAAACCCAAATTGAATATAACAGTAAAAATGTATTTGAATATGCATTTTGATTTGATTTAAAATACATCAAACCACAAGAACAAAAACTTCTATCATTGACCATTTAACACACATAAAGGATTTATTAATGTAACCCTAATTAATGTACCCCTGAACTGACATGGAGAAAACCTAATAATCATGTTATCCAGCATGATTTGAGAATGTTCCAGCGAGCATCTTGTAATTCAGCAGAAAGCATCTGTTTCACAGGAGTTCACATGTCATTGTCATAACTTTACTTGGATTTGTAGTGATTTGAAGTAGTGCAGGATTTAATTTGAACCTTTCTTTGTTTTAAATTTCCCAAAGCAACCTAATTCTTTCCTAAAACGTTCAGTTCATTTTCAGGTGTAGATGAAAAACTGATTTTCAATTTGTTCTTTTTAGGTCATGCAATGCTATATTGTATATTTACTTACTTATTTATATTTTATTGCCTTTACTTTTAGTATGTGGAACGAAAGGATTTTAACCGCCACGGTTTGGAGCCAGTGACACTGCTAGAGCAAACCATGTCTGGACTGGCTCATTTACATTCTCTTAATATAGGTAACCAATCAGCTACATCAGTAATACATTTTTAAATAATCAATCTTCATGAAGTACTGTTTGTTTTTTTTCGCAAAAAGTCTGTTTGACACAAGTGTTCGTAACACTCAATCTCTCATGGGTTTATAGTCCACAGAGATCTGAAGCCACACAACATCCTGGTGTCGATGCCGAACACACATGGGCGTGTGAAGGCCATGATCTCAGACTTCGGCCTGTGCAAGAAGCTGGCAGTGGGCAGACACAGCTTCAGCAGGAAGTCTGGGGTCCCGGGCACCGAGGGCTGGATTGCTCCAGAAGTGCTCAGTGAGGATGCAAAGCATAACCCTGTAAGAGCTCAAACACATGCTGTGTGGCCATTTGCTTTGGTTTTAGTACACCTAAGAGAATGAAAAATGTTCTGGGTTTTTCTTTTTTTTTCAATATGTCTAAATATTATTTTAATATTATAAATATAATATTGATTATTAAAGGTGACATCGGATGCCTGTTTTCCACAAGTTGGTACGACACTTTAGGGTCTTCATGAAATGTCTGAAACATACTTAGGTTAAAATTCCTCAGTGGTAATGTAAAACAACACCCTTTTTAACACCCTCTGTTCACAGCGACCCGTTTCAGTGCATGTCTCTAAATGACAATGAGCTACTGCTCAATGTTGACACAAGACAGGTGAATTGCTGCCTTGGACTCAGTATATGGCTCGGAGGTGGTCTTATTCAAATAGTGAGCTATCTATGTAGAAACCGGCTGCAAATTGAAATAGCTCGCTGGATGACAGTTTCAGATTCAGACAGCTCAGCTTTTCTGAGCTGGCAGACACGCCAGAAACCTAAGTAAATGCAAAAAAAAAAGCTTTAAAAAAAGTGAAAATTTCATCCAGTGTCCCCTTTAAATATATACTGATTATAAATGTTGATAGTTTAGTTTTTAATTGATACTAATGTTAATTTTGACTTATAAATATACTTTATATTGTTTATTGTTTGTTCATGTTTGTTCATAATGCAATCTTTATTTATACTTATATTAGTATACGTAGAAATGAACTTAGATTAGCACGTGTTGAGAAATATTCTTCATTGTTAGTTCCTGATACTTTATTCATTATCATTATTGGTTCATTATTCATTAAAGGGATAGTTCACCTAAAATGAAAATGTTGTCGTTAATTACTCACCCTCATGTCGTTACAAACCCGTAAGACCTTCGTTCATCTTCGGAAACAAATTAAGATATTTTTGATGAAATTCGAGAGCATTCTGACCCTGCATAGACAGCAACTCAACTACCAAAAAGGTAGTAAGGACATTGTTAAAATAGTCCATGTGACATCAGTGGCTCAACCTTAATTTTATGAAGCTGCGAGAATACTTTTTGTGCGCAAAGAAAACAAAAATAATGACTTTATTCAACAAATTCTTCTCTTCTGTGTACGTCTTCGATACGCATTCACGCCACGGCAATACCATGACGCTTGTGTGTGCATTCCTCTGCTTGTAAACAAGGTGCAGCGCATAAGTGTTCTACGTCAGAACGCAGGCTCCTGCGTCAGCAGCACCACACGCAACACACGTCAAAGACTGACACGGAAGAGAAGAAATTGTTGAATAAAGTCATTATTTTTGTTCTCTTTGCGCACAAAAAGTATTCTCGTAACTTCATAAAATTAAGGTTGAACCACTGATGTCTGTGAAGTCACCAACTTTCTGGGCCTGGGAGCATGGTAGTTGCGTACATGGTAGTGAAGTGTTACTCATGTCAATGCTTTGGTATAGGGTTGATGTAAAAATTGCAGTTTGCAAGAAATGTCATAACTTACTGTACTGTAGTAATATGTTGTGTACCCCGATGATCTGTTACAACATATAAAAATGTCCCATAATAATACTGCATCATTAGCAGAACCCATTGCAAATGGTCAGCCACACTCTACTACTGCACAACAACACTTGAAGAGAGCAAGTGATGATGAGTTTTATGTAACTTAAAACTGACACGGTGTAGTATATAACAAGGACAGGACAGGGTTATCAGGACATGAAGCATGAAGCCTTGTTTTGTCCTGAAAGGATTTTTTTTCCTGCAGTAATGACTTTGATCATTACTGACTGAAAATTAGACCGCTACTTACCAAATAAATAGACAGATATTGATTTGAAATTTATTTATGTGAGAAAAAAAGGAAGTGCACAAGTGAGACATAAAACAGTTACGCAGTTTAGCTGTTATTTTACAAAAATAATACATGACTGCAGAATGCTGCGTTGACCATTAGAATAAAGTATTCCAGAAAGCCATGTCAGAAGCACTAAGTTTTGTCAATGGCTAGACAATCGCAGTTTCACCTCTTTTCACCTCTGATGTTTCAGACCTGCATGGTAGACATCTTCTCTGCAGGCTGTGTGTTTTACTATGTGGTATCTGAAGGCCACCACCCCTTTGGAAAATCCTTGCAGCGGCAAGCAAACATTCTGCTGGGTGCCTACTCGCTGGACCACTTAGACCTTAACAGACACGGTAGGACGACCAAATGTCCTCTTGCATTCAAAAACACCAGAGCTCATTTTGGGTCAGTTTGTCAGATTTTTGATCATGTGATCATTTATGCTGTTGTATGCAGAGGATATTGTGGCCCGAAACCTGATCGAGCAGATGTTGAGTATGGAGCCAGAGAAGAGACCCTCAGCAGACAGAGTGCTAAAACATCCCTTCTTCTGGAGTCTGGAAAAACAACTGCAGTTCTTCCAGGTTAGTCAGGCATCCTTCATTAAACCAGGTTAAACGCATCTTTTGCAAACAGTGCCTTGCCCAAGAAGGCAGCAAAAGGCCACAACAACAAAGTAACAATAAAACACCAAATCATCTAAGATCATTTCTATTTTTTTATGTAAGTTGTTCAGAATTCTATCTGAACAAACCGGTCAGTACAGTATTGTTTACATGACAGTAGTTAAAGGGATCATGAATTGGGAAATCAAATTTTCATTGATCTTTTGACATTTTGGAGGTCATTGTAAACATTTTAAGTTTCAGAACTCAAAACTTCCTCAATCCAAAAACAGTTTTATTGAAGCTGCCAAAATGGCTCATTTTCTATTCATTGTTATTTTTATTACGTATGATTAATACAACAGCACTAGACTGCCTATACCGCAAAAGATCAACCCTTCTTCGTCTCTTATTGGCTTCGCCCACTGGTGTGTGTGAAGGGAGAGATACAGAAACAGGATAGCTGGGAATAAAAATAGATTTAGATGCCTGTTAAGTTTTCCAAATGTTGTAGAGTTCTTAGTTGTGGAACATCGTTTCTAACATCAGTGTTAGGATTCTAACTCGTATAGTAAGTAGTTCTGTTTCAAAATTGTTTATTTCTGTTTATGCATCAAATCAAGTTAAATTTCATACAGATAGAAATTGCTCCTTTAAAGGACACATGCTCCTTAAAACAGTGTTTTCAAACCAGAGGGTCAAAAACAGGGTAGAATATGGCCATTAATGTCTAAATTATAACAAATGTTGATGTAAAACTCTTACCAACGTTATAAGTGAATCTCAGAGAACATTATAAGATAAAAACAATGCAGTTCATGACCACTTTAAAGTCGTTTTTTTGTGAAACTCATCTAAAGCTAAAGTTTTTTTGTACTTGCTCACAGGATGTGAGCGATAGAATTGAGAAGGAACCGTTAGATGGACCAATCATGAGACAGCTGGAGAGAGGAGGACGGGTGGTGGTCAGAGGTGATTGGAGGGATCATATCACAGTGCCTCTACAGACCGGTGAGGACTGCTGCGATTTGGCTTACTGTTGGCTGGATTTTCGATCAGTTTTTAATTCGAAGATTTTGTAAATCGTTAAACCACATGCAGCTCTGTCATGATTATCTAGTTTTGTTTCTTATTTGAATCTTTAATGTGAAACTTTTGCTCCACAAACCATTCAAATGCAAATCGTTCTTCTTCAGATCTTCGCAAATTTCGTTCATACAAAGGCGGATCGGTCAGAGATCTTTTACGTGCCATGAGAAACAAGGTACATTTGCTTAAGAAAATCAGTTTATTGATACTCACCACAAATATCTAGTAGTTACAGCAGATAAAAATATGCATAATATTAATGGAAAAGTAGCATAACAGAGTAGAAGGAACACAAAGGTCCTTTTTTATTAAATTAAATGTAGTTGTTTGGTTAGTTACACCTATTTGTCATTGTACTAAAATAACAGTTTTAGTCCATGTTGAAAATATATCACATGATTAAAAACTCCTGTTTCTCTTAATCACAAATTGTCTCATATTTATCTCATCTTTGTTTCCTGTAGAAACACCATTACCGAGAGTTACCTGATGAAGTCCAGGAAACACTAGGATCCATTCCAGATGAATTTGTCTCCTACTTTACCTCCCGTTTCCCTCTTCTTCTGCAGCACACACATTTGGCCATGCGTTTCTGTGCCATGGAGCGACCTTTCCTGCCTTACTACCACGCTTCTGAACTGCTCACACACCACACAGTAGCACAGTGTGTGCCACAGACTCCCCCCACACAGCATAGCAGTCCATCAGTGCCCTCAGGCCTGTCGTCGTCCAGTCCGACATCAGCAGCTCTACATGAACTGTCAGACACACTGTCTGAAATGGCAGTCTTACTCGAGCTCACCACAGAGCACATACAGACAGTCCCAGTGCCACCCACACTGTCCACACAGGAGACTGGAGCTCCTTTGTGCCTAGTGGATGGACCCTTGACGGATGGACCGTTTACGGAGACGTTCCAGGGATGAGCCATCTCTCTGTGTGGATGCAGTCTGGGCCTGCGGTGTCCAGGCTGTGTCACCGCAGAGGCTGCCATCTCATCTTTAGTGCCTTACATGCTCATTTTAGACAACAGCTCTTGTTTGAGCAACTTACAGATTCCTGGAGAAGATGATTTGGAGGATGCTGAAGAAGATGGCTTGGGTTGTCAGTGGTGTGCTCACAAAACTTTGCAGTCATTCCTTCCATTTGTCAAGTATAATGTGATTGTAAGGCGAGGGATTTTGTTGAACACTTGAAGTGAACACAAGAATTTCTACTGTGCAATGTTGAGTCGTGCTTGGTGAGAGAGATCATGCTATTGAATTTATATTTTTGTACATATTTTGATCATTGATAATTGGTTGAAGTGGCCATTGTGCCTTTTTAAATGACACTGTGCTGTGTGACTTAGTCCTGAGGAGAAGCTAATGCTTGTGGTTTTCGCCTTTTGTCTTTGCTGCTGAAAGCTGTTAAAGGACTAGTTCTACCAAAAATGAAGAGAGGTATCATTTAGTCGTCCATACATGTACGACTTTCCGTGGAACAGCAGAATGTTCACTGTTCTCTTCTGTACAGTGACCACCTGCTGTGAAGCTCCGAAACGACTGAAAAGCATCATAAAAGTAAATACATCCAAATTAATTTATTATTCACTGATAATCTCCACCTCCACTGCATTTCTTGATTCTCGTTCAGAGTGTGAAGACGTCACACCAGATTTGACATCCGTGAAGCCAAAGAGCATTGGTTCTCACATATCATATGTGGAAGCACAAATCACATTTGTCGTCTCGTATGGCTACAGAAGGCTATACAGCACACAAGCCATATGGACTACTGTGATAATACTGGTTTGAAACAAGAAGTAAATAATGACAGAAATACATTTTTGGGTGAACTGTTCCTTCAAAGTCTCTAACATGGAACCAACTATACAGTATGACATTACCGGTATTATGCTTTCAAAAGTTCTGGATATACTTTCATGACAAACTTCCTGTATTGTGCTCATAATTTCAGTCATTCATGCATGCAATTTTATATTTTGGCATATTTCAGCAAAACATGGTAAATTGTATGAATTAGTTCCCTTGGATTCTGGATAGTGTGGTTTAGTTATAGCTTTCAGGTGATTCTCTTAAGTGGTTCTTATATAGGGAAATAATTTAAGTATTTTCTAGGTTTTAATGGATCCCTGCTTCAAAAACTATGGGCTGTTGTCAGGAAATACTAGGAAAAATGTCTCTCCTGTGCCTGATGCTGGTCATATGTTCAGTCCATATACAGCATTGTAATCTAAAATGCATGAAGTTTTGAACTGAAATATTCCAAATGGAGCTTTTATAATGTTAGATGTTTTTAATGTTCCTTATATATTTTTAAATGGCACATTTTGAGGGAAAAATTATTAAATGCAGTAATGCCTTTTTACATGTAGTGTTAATAAAAGCTGCTAGTGTGCAATGCCAAGCACGTTTTTACCAGCCTTTGGACCAGATATGAGTGCAAATAGCCAACCTTCTTGGCAAAGCCTGTTTTCGCTAATGTCAAGTCAATGCTCCAATTGCTCACCATTGCTCAAATATTTTATATATAACATGTTACTTCTATTTACTTTTTGTTAGAATAGCATCTATCTCTACTTGCACTTAGTATAAACATTTTTATTTATACATGTCATCATGATGCAAACAGTAACTACTAACTACCACCATTTACATTAACTTTTTTTAACAGTTTGTGTATAATTTAGGAAAACCAGTAAGCATACACCATTGCAGCTCACTGTAAAGTAAAACAGAATGAAAACAGGTAGAATGACGATTAGCACAAAACACGGAACCTGGTTTTTAAACTGTTCCGATGCAGTGGGACTACAGAAAACTTTATTTTTAACTCTTAACTGTGCATTTTCATTTGAGAGGTTATTAAAGTTTCTCAGCACCATTATTTAGGTGCGCTTTAATTCATAATTTATCATATTTTAGATGTTGTAACAGCTGAAATCACTGATGATGACCAATACATATTCAGTCTGATACATACAGAAGTAATGCATCATATTTTGATGTAATGGAAGACAATAACATTAATTCACTTAACCCATTTAAACCCAAATATTTCCTAGACATGAAAATATCCAAATAATGTATCATCAGTAACCCCTTGAAATAATCTATAATTTTTTTTTAATTTTTATGGAAAAGTGTGTGAAAAATTGTGTTTTATGGTCAGTCACAATTGTGAGATAATGTTATACTGGATTTTAAACAAATTTTGCAGTCAGCAAAATTCTTATATATCTCAGTCCAGTTATTAACACATTTTAAACTGTTTCAACACTGATAGGAATACAGAGGGGGAAAAAAAGGAAAAAAATCTACGTATTTCAAAATTTTACTCTATTGTAACATATAACATTTTTATATTAGTGCAACCAGTATTAAAACATAAATATTGTAACTTATTTGTAACATTTGAACTTTTAATTTAGTGCGATACTCACTGTAACTTTGTCATTGCGACATTTTAGTGCAACCTTTACTAACAACTGCATTTGGATGCATGTTGTGCACTAAATACACTGTATTATCCCAGTGGTCATTATTGTTGTCATCAACATGTTTATTCTATGACCACACTCAACAGAACTAAATAATTGTGAATTCATATATTCATACTAGACACCTTAAAGATAATGTGTTCCAGTATTAAAACATAAATATTGTAACAAAAATCTTTGTCATGTCTTTATGTTAACTAGGGTGACCATACGTCCTCTTTTTCCCGGACATGTCCTCATTTCGGACCAAAAAAAATGGATTTCTAAATTGCCCAAAATGTCTGGGATTCGGCCTTTGCTTTCTACAGTTGCCATTCATTGTGTGCGTTTTTGTATTAGATCCCTGCGAGGGACTTCTCTTAATCCAGCTCCCGCTGAATTTCTGACCATTATCTCCCGCTCCTGTGATTTTTGTGTCCAGTTCCGCAAACATTCTAATATTGCATATAATTTTCGCGCATCAGGGAGCCGCTATCAATATGCGGAGTATTTAAATCTCTTTTGAATGAGCACTCGCTGTTCACTTTCACTTGCAATCACGCGCACTCTGTGTAAAGGAAGATCAGATATTTGGCAATGAGCTCAGGATCTGTTGAGCAGCAAATCCTCCAGCATGCTCAAATATTTTATATATAACATGTTACTTCTATTTACTTTTTGTTAGAATAGCATCTATCTCTACTTGCACTTAGTATAAACATTTTTATTTATACATGTCATCATGATGCAAACAGTAACTACTAACTACCACCATTTACATTAACTTTTTTTAACAGTTTGTGTATAATTTAGGAAAACCAGTAAGCATACACCATTGCAGCTCACTGTAAAGTAAAACAGAATGAAAACAGGTAGAATGACGATTAGCACAAAACACGGAACCTGGTTTTTAAACTGTTCCGATGCAGTGGGACTACAGAAAACTTTATTTTTAACTCTTAACTGTGCATTTTCATTTGAGAGGTTATTAAAGTTTCTCAGCACCATTATTTAGGTGCGCTTTAATTCATAATTTATCATATTTTAGATGTTGTAACAGCTGAAATCACTGATGATGACCAATACATATTCAGTCTGATACATACAGAAGTAATGCATCATATTTTGATGTAATGGAAGACAATAACATTAATTCACTTAACCCATTTAAACCCAAATATTTCCTAGACATGAAAATATCCAAATAATGTATCATCAGTAACCCCTTGAAATAATCTATAATTTTTTTTTAATTTTTATGGAAAAGTGTGTGAAAAATTGTGTTTTATGGTCAGTCACAATTGTGAGATAATGTTATACTGGATTTTAAACAAATTTTGCAGTCAGCAAAATTCTTATATATCTCAGTCCAGTTATTAACACATTTTAAACTGTTTCAACACTGATAGGAATACAGAGGGGGAAAAAAAGGTAAAAAATCTACGTATTTCAAAATTTTACTCTATTGTAACATATAACATTTTTATATTAGTGCAACCAGTATTAAAACATAAATATTGTAACAAAAATCTTTGTCATGTCTTTATGTTAACTAGGGTGACCATACGTCCTCTTTTTCCCGGACATGTCCTCATTTCGGACCAAAAAAAATGGATTTCTAAATTGCCCAAAATGTCTGGGATTCGGCCTTTGCTTTCTACAGTTGCCATTCATTGTGTGCGTTTTTGTATTAGATCCCTGCGAGGGACTTCTCTTAATCCAGCTCCCGCTGAATTTCTGACCATTATCTCCCGCTCCTGTGATTTTTGTGTCCAGTTCCGCAAACATTCTAATATTGCATATAATTTTCGCGCATCAGGGAGCCGCTATCAATATGCGGAGTATTTAAATCTCTTTTGAATGAGCACTCGCTGTTCACTTTCGATTTCGCGATCACGCTCTGTAAAGGAAGATCAGATATTTGTCACTGAGCTCAGGATCTGTTGAGCAGCAAATCCTCCAGCATGATCTGTCAGCCATCTCTCCTCTCAACCCATGGTCAGTGAAATCTGACTCCTGCAGCTCACGTTGCATGCAGGGTTGTCAAGTACACGTTTTTGTTTTGTTTTTTCGATGGAATTGGGCTACTTTTAAACTGTTGCCATGGTTTGCATTTGACTGAAATGCTTGTATTGGTAGTTTTCAGTCACGTGACTGGTCCGAAGACCTGGCGGGCAAAACATCCATAGAACTGCAGCACAAGACTGTCAATTTTCTATCTCTTCCAATCTAAAAGTATTTAGATCATCTCTCAAAAGAATAAAACAAAGATATGTGAGCAAAATGCAAGTTTTGGCCATTATCAATCCATAAAGCACCTGTCGCAATATTTCAATCACTAAAAACAGCGGTACATTCTAAACGTTTAATGTGAAAACACTTAAAGTACCTTTAAAACAGTGATATTAAAAGATGAAATTAGTACACACCTTATTGACTTATTGATGATGCGTGCTTTATGCAGGCAAGCAAATGAGCCTGGAATATGAGCGCAATGCGCTAAATGGTTAACCGTCTTCTTTATAATGGTGTTCTATGGGAAAATATTTATATTAAATTTTGCGCATTGCATTTATATTATGGGTTAATCTGCTTGCCTGTACAAAGCCTGTGCATCATCAATAAGGTGTATAACTAATTTGGCCTTTAAATATCACTGTCTTACTACATTACTACTAAATGCAATCCTCCTAAAAATAACTGGCGGTCAGTTGAGGAAAGCCTTGTTTTGCCCTCCGTGTGGGCGTTCTTGTAAGGGTGTGACGTCACGTGAAAACTATCAATAGAAACATTTTGCATTCTACTACCTATGATAAAATTGTGCTATTTTGTGAAGGAGGGCCACTGGTAGGAAGCTTTTTAGCTATGTTTATGATCAATATGCTTAACAGTGATTGTAAAACATTTTAGGTATGGAAATTACATATTTTGAGTTTTGATATTTGGGATATGGTCATTGCGTTACTTTGGGCACTGCTTTAACCACCAACCAACCACACCCCAGCCCCCCGCCCCACCCGCACCCACTGTCCTCTTTTAGGAAAACTAAAATATGGTCACCCTATGTTAACATATTTTACTAACCTTTTGTTTTGGAGCTTTGATGCAGCCATCATCCTCTCATGGTGCAAATATGAAGTAAACTGCTCTGGTTATGTGATAATTTGCACTAACCATGTGACACTGCACATATTTAATTGAGACCTTGCAGGAAATGCACTAAAACACCAGACACATGTTTAGAGCTTTATAAATGAAAAATTTCCTTACGGTCACTATTGTGATCGATGGGTTAATTTTGCTTGGAAAAATAAAAAAAATTGTGCAGTTTTATTTATTTGGTTAGTTGGATACAGCCCTAAAAATGACACATTTATGTTTAAATTACTGGGTTTTGTATTAAGAAAAAATACATGTATACTGATGCATCACATTACATGGCGATTTGGCTTTGGCGATTGGCGCTTCAGTCAATCTACTCCACAGCCAATCACGGGCCCCCTCGTTGCTCGGGCCCTGGGGCTTCAGCCCCACCTAGCCCTACTGTTAATTCGGCCCTGCCTACAGTATGCTCCCGATGTCAAATGCAGAAACGTTAATTCATGCTTTCATGACCTCAAGGTTAGATTATTGTAATGCTTTATTGGGAGGTTGCTCTGCGTGCTTAATAAACAAACTCCAGCTGGTCCAAAATGCAGCAGCTAGAGTTCTTACAAGAACCAGGAAGTACGACCATATAATCCCGTTTCTGTCAACTCTGCACTGGCTCCCCATTGAACACTGAATACAAAATCTCGCAAATTACTTATAAAGCCCTGAATGGTTTAGCTCCTCAGTACTTGAGCGAGCTCTTATCACATTATTGTCCTTCATGTCCGCTGCGATCTCAAAACTGGCCATTTGATAATATCCAGAATATCAAAATCAACTGCGGGCTCAAATTTATTTTAAATTCCATCCTTTTCCTCTTTAGCGCCCAAACTCTGGAACAATCTACCTAGCGTTGTTCGGGAGGCAGACACACTCTGTCAGTTTAAAATCCAAATTAAAGGCCCATCTCTTTAACCTGACAGATAACACACTATTGCATTTCTATAATTCAAATCTGTTAAAGGGTTAGGCTGCATTAACTAGGTCAACCGGAACCGGGAACACTTCCCATATCACCGGATGTACTTGCTACATCGTAAGAAGAATGGCATCTATGCTAATATTAGTCTCTTTCATTCTTATTCCAAGGTCACTATAGCCATGCGGATCCAGTTTGTATCCAGATCAGATGGTGGATCAGCACCTACAGATGACCTCTACAGCCCTGAATGTCAGCAGAGAGCACGTCAACTAGATGCGCCCCAGAGACAGATCCCCTGCGAAGACCTCGTCACCTCGACGACCATCGGCACAAGACCACGAGAACCAGACAAGACCTCTGCACCTGTGTTGCAGCCTGGAATTAAACCACACCATGTTGGTTTCGTCTGGCCAGATGAGAACTGGCCCCCCGACTGAGCCTGGTTTCTCCCAAGGTTTTTTTCTCCATTTCTGTCACCGATGGAGTTTTGGTTCCTTGCCACTGTCACCTTTGGCTTGCTTAGTTGGGGACACTTGACTGATTGCACAAACACTACTGGAAGAGAACTGAACTGGATGATGGCATCACTGAATAATCAATGAACTGACTTTAGCTGAAAAATTACTATTTGTTATTGTCTTCTTGCATTATTGACAACCTATTTTCCTGTTTGACACTGTAAAGCTGCTTTGACACAATCAGTATTGTATAAAGCGCTATACAAATAAAAGTGACTTGACTGATTTGACTTGACTTGACTGCAGTGTGCAACAGCAAATTTTCAATAAAGAATCCTGCTGAAGAGATACCCAAGTCACTTGTTGAGTTGTCATATTTAAATTTCTAAATATTTCCCAAGCTGCCCTGATTTTCCCCATGACAATGGCCTAGTATGTACAGGTGCATCTCAATAAATTAGAATGTCGTGGAAATTTCATTTATTTCAGTAATTCAACTCAAATTGTGAAACTCGTGTATTAAATAAATTCAATGCACACAGACTGAAATAGTTTAAGTCTTTGGTTCTTTTAATTGTGATGATTTTGGCTCACATTTAACAAAAACCCACCAATTCACTATCTCAACAAATTAGAAATTAATAAAGTAAAGTTTTCCTGAATTTTGAGCATGAGTCACTATTGAATCCTTGTTACAAACTAAAAAGATTTATGCACCAAAACAAAACAACATAGGAGACAAGAGAGTGTGATGTTAACGTCCTTGTAGAATCTGCTGTATAAAAATATGACATAATAACAATTAAAAAAAAAAAAAAGACATTTCTTAACTTGGTTCTGGCATTTGATACATGACATTACCATTCAAAAGTTTGGCATTACTATGATTTTTGTTGTTGTTGTTGTTTAAGAAATGTATATTTTTGTTCTTCAAGGATGCATTCATTTAATAAAAATGTCAGTAAAGACATAATGTAAAAACAGATTTCTATTTCAAATAAATGCTGTTCTTCTAAACATTCCATTCATCAAGGAATCCTGTCGCTGTATAATGGTTTCCACACTTCATTAAGCAGTACAACCATTTTCAACTGTGATAATAATCAGAAATGTTTCTTGAGCAGCAGGTCACGACGAGGCGTTCCCCATAGCGACCCCTAGAGGACGCAGTTCGAAGTTCCCATGAAAGGGAACTCTAATAATTTGCTGCACCGGCGCAGTGAGAGTCGCGATTTTGGTAACTGCGCACGCACGCACTGCGACGCTTTTGTTTATTAGGTAGGGCTTGTGATATGCTAATAATCTAACAGTTTTGCGTGCTATATTTGATTTACATTGGTATTTACATATTGTTTTACTGATCAAAGTTTGGTCCTTTTGGAAGATTCGTCCATTCCTCCTGGGCGCGAGGGTGGTGGCTGAACCCGCGTCAGTGCAGGAAAGACGAGTCACTGTGAGTTTGTTTGTTTGTTTTTAATCCCAAAATATTCTAGAATATAGTGTAACCAAACTTCATATTTTGTCACTGCAGAACGGGGGCATTTTTCTTTAGAGAGGGAAGCATCGGGGGTAAATAGTAGCTAATGCGTTTTATTGATCGGATAGCAATCCAATCATGAAAATACCAGGTCTAAAACTCTACGTAAAGTGATATTTTTGATAACCACAAAATAAATGTCAGCTCGTTTCTCCTTTTCTTAAAAAAGCAAGAGGTGGGTTACTGCGAAGCAATACAATGGAAGTGAATGGGGCCAGACGGTTTGGGAATCACTGCATTACATGAACAAACATTAATAAACATTAATAATAAACATGCCCAAAGTCATTCAGGTTTGAAAAAATGTTGTCCAGAATTCCAGAACCAACAATTTCTGAAGGTCACTGAATATGATAAATAGTGTTTCATAACTATACATCATCAGTGTTTAGTAACTTGATCTGGAGGTGTTTTTTTTCTTCCAAATTCAGAAGCATGGTTTGCATATTTGTTTACATGACATTTACATGGCCATTCTATATTGTGAATATAGCCAAAGCTAGTGGTATGACACAGTAGGATATTTAGAAAGGAAAATTTAAAAGAGAAAAAATAAGAATTAGGGCGAATCAATAAATTATGATTACTGCCCCGTTACTGCCATTGTGTGAATACTATTTAATCATGTAATCCATAAAAAAGTAACTAATCTGATTATGAGCATTATAAAATGAAATATACTCTAATTACAAGTACTTAATTTTTTTTATCTGATTGTGTAATACAGATTATGTGTAATCACTATATAACTACTATCTAACACTGGTCACATGATCCTTCTGAAATCATTCTAATGTGCTGATTTGTTGCTCAAAAACATTTATTATTATTATTAATGTTGAAAATAGCATCAATTTCAGCAGTTGACTACTGGTTCATATTTTTGTGGAAACATTGCTACATTTTTTTTTCAAGAATCTTTGATGAATAGAAAGTTCAAAAGAAAATTTGAAATATTCTATTTGAAATAGAATATATAAATGTCTTTACTGTAACTATTGATCAAATGAATGCATCCTTTCTAAATAGAGCAATTTCTTTTTTCTTTTTTTTTTAAATCCTACTTATTCCAAACGTTTGAATAGTCATAACAACGACACTTACATCATCATTGCCACATCTAGTGCGTCACTGATAAGGCTCCCTGACGCACACCTAAAATTCAAATACACCGTTTTTGCATTCGAATGCAGATTTTTATTTTAAATTCGACTAATATTCCTTTTTTTAATTCACAGTCTCCACATCACAGGCAGGCAAGGCACTCATTTCAGCATATGTTTGTGTGTTCTGTTGGCAGTCTGCTTGTCACTCATAACACACGCCTTTAAATGAAAAAAGCGTGAAACTATATCGTGCAATATATCCAGAGGCGGACAAAGTACTTAGTTTTGATTGCTTCTATTGTCCTCATTTGTAAGTCGCTTTGGATAAAAGCGTCTGCTAAATGACTAAATGTAAAGTAAATGTAATTTAATAATAAAGAGCTTTTAGAATGTTATAAACCTATGGGGAAAAAAACAAAACATAAATAAATAAATATTTAACACCCCTACCCACCCCCACAAAAGCAGGATGGTAGTGATCTCACATTTGCAGCTGGTCAGTGTTCAAAAAATGCTGGGAAATCATTTAATGTACTCCTACAAGAGTGATTACTGATAAACTGTCTGAAAAAAAGAAAGTCACGTTTTAGAGAAGAAAAAAATCACCCACTGACTTTCTACTTTGAGGATCTTGATAGAAATGCAGTGGAGTGAAAAGTACAATATTTGTCTTTCAAATGTAGTGAAGTTAAAGTCATAAGTTCCCAGAAAAAATAATACTCAAGTAAAGTACAGATACACAAAAAGTGTACTTAAGTACAATACTCAAGTAAATTTACTTAGTTACTGTCCGCCTCTGGATATATCAAACATGTTTTATATCGTTATCGATGATGGTGTACCTTTGTTAAATATCGATACCGTTTTATCGCCCAGGCCTAAACCCATCCATAAAAATAAACTATATTGGGCATTTTATTTATGCCCCCATTTGTGTTTCCCACATACTTTTAACATGATGAAATATTTAAGATTAACATATAAGTTCTTGTTAGAGTTATATGTAAAATATGTAAACCAGTAATTTATACTGTATAGTCCTGGCATGTACCCCCGGCGTGTAGCCCAAGAAAAGATGGGGGGGCTGGGGGTGCGGTGTTAAAAATAAATGAATAAAAATTTTGTAACAAAAAATAAATAAAACTAATTTTATTAATTTGTATATTCATTAAAATTCATAGAAAAAAATTGCCTAAGCCTACAGTGACAAGCAATAGTAAAACATGAATTAAGTTTAATCAAATTGTAAGTACTTGGTACATTATCAGCGCAGCGGGAGACGTTCAAACTAATATCACGTAATTTACGTCTCTTTGATGATTAGTTGATATCAGAAGGGAGGCTAGCCTCCTCTATGAGGTTTCTTTTCTCAACACTCCTCAGCGCTGAAAGTGAACACTCGATGGTGATTGGCTAATTTTTTTACCAACGCTCCCCCTACCCTTCTCTATCATTAGCGGTTGCAATTACATCAGCAGATTCGGCACATTCGCGATAGAAAAGCTGCACTTTCACGTTATTTGATTACAACTGTGAAATTACAAACAAAAAATGCACATTCTGAGGCATGAACTGAAATGAATTGTGAATTTTATTAACAATAAATCGTCCTTCTCCCATTTTCACTTCAAAATTATGGGGAAGCTGTGCCTCCCCCAACGATGCTCTGTGAACTAACATGAACTAACAATAAACAAATGTATTTTCATTAACTAATGTTAACGGAGATTAGTAAATACAGTAACAAATGTATTGCTCATGGTTAGTTCATGTTAGTTAATACATTGACTAATGTTTAATGAACCTTCTTGTAAAGTGTTAACATTAATTTTAATAAGATTAAGACATGACACTCTTGCTGAGAACATTCAACTTTTATTTAAATGTTAATAATTAATACATGTAACAGTAAAGCATATACTGAAATTAAAATAAAAAACGACCATAAATAAGTTGTAAGTTGTAAATGACCAATACACATGAATAGAAATAACTTAAAACTTAAGTTGTAAATAAGCTATATTCGTTGACATTGCGATTGCAATGTGACAAGTCAAAAGCAGTAATTGGATTCTTGCTTGGAAATGTACATAATGAAACGTTTTCCAAAAATTAACAAATTTACAATGTATTGTTTAATACTATATATTTTTTACCAGGTATAAGTAATTAACGGGTTCACAGTTTTGTTTTATATAATTACGTATTACTACCATGTATTGTTTCAACCGCATTTCCTGTTTACCGCGGCGTCGACGTCATTACTTTGCCACTAACCAATGAGAAGCGTTGTGGGCGGGGCGACACGTGCAGCACCGCCTCAGGTGCAGCCCCGCCTCGATCTGCAGGCTGCAGCCGGGTGTACTTGCGACGAGCCGCCATATTATTTACCTGTAACATGTTTGTGCCGGACCCAAATCAAGAGTTGTTTCAGTATTGCTCTTAATGAAAAAAAAAATCCCACACACAACATCAGCAATACTACAGTGACAAAGTAGCTTATATTAAACATAACACTTTTATTAACAGAACGCATAAGATATACACGCGTTGTAACAAATAAATAAAAGGTGTTTGGATTTTCCCCTTCAAACGAATGCTTAGTTTGTGGCTCATTATTATTATTAATAATAATACAAAAGGCTATACAATAAAACGGTACGATGACAAATTTACTTATATTAAACTTTGAACTTTTATTAACAATATGAATAAGGAAAATATGTTTTACCCGCATTGTAACACAAATAAACAGTCTTTGGATTTCCCCTTTCTTTAAGTGTAAAACGATTGTAGTTTGTGGTTCATTATCCTATTAATAAAACACATCAGCCATAAAATAGTACAATGGCAAATTCGCATAGGCCTATATTAAACATCTAACTTTTATTAACAAAATGAATAAGACGGATATAGTCTACTTGCGTTGTAACCCAAATAAATAAGGTATTTTCCCTCTTTTAAAACAAATGCTTAGTTTGTGGTTCATTGTTTTATTTATTTATTTATTTTTAATGAAAACAGCAACAATAAAGACAAACTCGCTTATATTAAACGAAGAAATTAAACTTGTATTAACAAAAGGTGCGCTTTTGGATCATAGTGTCTCGCATCACTCTCGTCACGTGACCTGAATTACTTTGTAGTTTTAACAAGAATTAATCCACAGTCAAACCAAACCCCCCCCCATGTAATGCATTAGCAATAAACAGTTAAATGAAAGCAACTTTCTGTGTTTACACCCTGTGTTGAACATTTATTTAATGTAATGTATTTATTTATGTAATGTAATGTTTGCTGGACAAAATGCAGATAAATGTATTGTTCATGGCTTCAAAATGTCTCTGCTATAACAGTGTAATTTCTGTTTTTCAAGGTTCGCAATGTTATGATGTTTGAGTTTGTACTGTGAATGATCACTAGAAGCCATTAAACAATGGGCAAGTATAATGTTGTTTTTCAGCACTTACCAGTCATTATTTTAAAGTAGTTTAAATGAACATGATCTCACCTATTTTTTTTCGTTTGCAGAGAAGCCAGAGGATTCTCCACTAGAGACATGGACTGAGTCTATGGTGAGCAATTGGTTAAGGTCAATAGGAGTTAAAGAAACAAACATCAAAAAACTTCATGAAGAGGAAGTAGATGGCCGGATCCTTTGTGAACTGTCAGAAGAATATCTGGAAAAAAAGATTGGAATGAAATCCGGGCCTGCACTTTTGATAATCAAAAAAAGAAATGAGTTAGTAAATTCACAAAAGGCCCAGAGCCAACATTTACACAAACAAACTTCTGGAAAAAATGACCATGGAGCAAGTGCAATTAAAAGTCTTGAAACAACAGACGACATCAAGGAAGAGCATAAAGAAGATTTTGTGCCTGTGGTAACAACAAAGAGAGATTCAAAACTACGACCTTTTGATATGAAAGGTGTTGATTTTACATATGTCAAAAACAGTGTACTCTTACCAGAATCAGGGGTTGTTGATTTCATTTGTCCATGTCATGAGTATAAGTCATTTGCAATTGCTGCAACACTGGACCGCCAAAGACTACAGGCCAAGTTTGCAAAGGAAGTGCTGAAATTTGCTACAGGTTGTATGAATGTTCGTACAAATGGCACAATACATTTTGGTGTGATGGACAGTAGAGGTGACACTGGTTACGTACATGGCGAAATCACTGGTATTCCTGTTAAGGAAAAAGATGTATACTGTGATGCATTAGATTACATAGAGAGGAGTTTCTCTATCTCTGATAGGGAACTTGTACGATTATGTATTGGTGAACCTCAGTTTGTTCAAGTAGTCTGTTCAAACAGCAACGAGGAACTCTACGTTGTGGAGGTTGATATTAAGCCAGTAGTTAGCATAGTCAAGAATAGGGTGTTCTTTGTTAGCTTGCCAAATTTCAATGAGAAGGCAAACAAAGTTCAGCTTGAGAAGAACACTGCTTTTCGCAGAGTGGGTTCTAAAACCGAACCAGTGGCTGACCTCAGTGACTTCTACCAACACATCAGTTTTAGGGATGCTCAGAGAGAAGAGGCAGAGAGAAGGAATCATTTCTCAGCACCAGATCTGTGCCAGAACCTGGGAAAAAAGCTCATCATGCTCATAACGGGTGGAAAGAAAATACTGGACAAGGAAAAATGGCACATACTGGTTACCAACCGACTTCAGGAGAAGGATCTGCAAAGCATAGATTTTTTGTTGAACATGAACATCTTCTGCGTGTTTGACTTTGATCCAGATTCCAACGTGTCTGGGCTATGCCATGAATACAATAAGCACCATGTAGTGAACCGCCATTTCATGCAGAACTACAAAATTCCCAGTGGCTTGAGCATCCGAGAATTTGAGAGTCATCTGCGTTTGTTTGATCAAATCAGCTGGATATTTTGCAATGGCCGGAACGATTTCAAAGGCAACGAGCCTCCCTGTGATGAGAAGACTTGGGTTAAAACAAAAAGGACCCTCCTAAAAGATTGTGTGTCATTGATTTGCAAAGACATCTTACCCAAAGGAACCTTTCAAGTGATTTTCCTCCTTACTTCCCCTGTTGACACACCTTTCCTAAACACGTTCTATGAGTTCATCACCGACATGGAAGGACATGAAGACATTATCTGCCTTGCAGAATCTGAGGAGAATTTCAAGAAATGGCAGAGCTTTGCTCTAGGATCCTGTGACATGGAAACAGTAAATAGTTCAAGTGTTGTTGGGATGACAATAAGTCAAGTAAATGCAACCCTCCAACAGGTCCAGCCTACCACTACACGGACAATGAAACTATTACCGATCCATGTAAAAGGAGAGTGTTTCCTTGATACTCGAGAGGAGGAAATGAGATGTTCTTTGGAGATTTTGAGTCTAAACCACTGCGAAGAAACAAGTCCTGATGTCATTGAATCTGAAAAAGAGAATATTGAGCAGCAGTTTTACCATGGAGGAAAAGTAACTTGGATGAATCTCTGGCTTGCGGATCAAAAAATTGTTGGAGAGGTTATTCAAAGAGATGCTTACAATGAAGTCAACAGTCTGGTGAAAGAATGTCTTTGTTGGAGTTTGGACCGGGCACCCATCAGCTGCATCAGCATGTACCATCATCCGGGCAGTGGTGGTAGTACAGTGGCAAGGCAGGTACTGTGGAATAACCGAAGAGATCTAAGGTGTGCAGTTGTAAAACCTTCATACTCAGCATCGGTTGTTTCAGAAGATGCCATTTGGCTTCGAGAATATGAAGAAAAATATCCCCAAAAATGCCTCCCTGTACTTCTGCTGTTTGAAGACTGTGATCAAGAGTATTTAGAAGATGTCAAGTATGAATTGGAAGTGGCCGTCAATACCAAGAAAATAGCACGTGGAACTCTCTGCTTCGTCCTGCTAAGTTGTAGGAGATCTCACAATCCAGAAAAAATGTGCAAGGTATCACCTCAACACAATGTTTCTATTACTCATAAGCTTTCAGAGACAGAAAAAAAGCAGTTTTCCAAAAAACGACGAAGCCTTGAAAAACAGTTCAAGCCAGAATTCATTCTAACATTTGTCCTGATGAGTGAGGAATTTGAGAGCCACAAAATTATTGAATATGTGAAGCAGTTTGTCAAGCATTTACTGCAAGGCATTGATATCAAGTCTGTTGTTACTAAGCTTGTTCTGTATGTGGCATTGTTCAACACTTACGTGCAGAACTCATTCATCTCTCAGTCACATTGCGAAGCTCTCCTGGGTCTTTCCATTCATTTGGATAGATTTAGACAACATGCCTTTGAGACTTCTCTGAGTGAGCAAGCTAGATTGGTCTTAATACACTTGAGGGATGAAAAAACCTACATTAAGTTGATCAGAATCATTCATCCGCTGATTGCAAAGGAATTACTCCATCAACTTCTGGGTGACAAGCAACAACAAAGTGATCTCGCTTTGGATCTTCTCAACAACGATGTGCTCTTTGAGCACAGGTTTGGTAAAGATCAGTACATGAAGTTCTTGCGAGATCTCTTCATGACACGCCGCAGGATCAGCAAAGGTGATGAATTGGACAGCTTTTTCTCCCCCCTAATTGAGCATGTAAGAGACAAAGAGTGTCCAGATAAAGCTATTGAGCTTCTCAAGGCGGCTTACAAGCGTTTTCATGAGGATGCATTTTTTGCTCAACAACTGGCTCGACTCAATTACAAACATGACAGATTTGAAGAAGCAGAACAGTGGGCAAAGACTGCTGTTGCGAAAAGGCCAAACAATTCTTACTTTCTTGATACCAAAGGTCAGGTGTACAGGCAATGGTTCACAGCAAAATTTAAAGCCATGAAGCAAACTAAAAAAACACCTGAAAATGTAGTAGATGCTTTAGAAACAGCACTAAAGGCTATTGAATGTTTTCAGGAATGTGAGAAAGCAGCAGTTGAAGACAATGAGACCATTAACAATGCTGGCTTTTTTGGAGTAGTAGAAGTAGGATGCGAATTGCTAAAGCTGATTTCCTCTCTTGATGTGTTCTCAGGAAGAAATCATTCCCGATGCATAAAATACCTCCTCACAGATTATATGCCTGATGAGGTAGAAATACCATGGGAAATTTTTCATGGGAAGCTGAAAAACATCCAAAAAATAATACTGGAGGCGCTGGAATGGATTTCAGAAGACTTGAGTTACTTCCAGACTGACCTGAACACCGATGAGGAGAAGACATCTGAGACTGTTGAGAGGACCACAAAGTACCCCATGCACTGGCTGGTGAATAAGTCTTCTGCTTATGGTAAATACTTTAGTGGTGTTTCTCAAAGTAAAGATCAAAACCAAGGGAAGTTTGCTCCTGTCATGAAACGCATGATGATTTATCATCACGGTGGGGGAAACATCACAACCATTTTTTCCCTTCTAACAAACCAGAAAGATTGTTGTGGTCTTAACAAACCAGAAAGTCCTGTCATGGTTCTGGAGCAAATTATTTCACTTTACCCAAGCAATCCGATGGGGGCGCAAATGCCACAAGCGGACCTTGTCAACTACATAGCGTCACACTTTGCTTTAAGTTGTCTCTCAACTCAGTCTCCCAAGCTGGTTGCATTTCAGGATCTACAAAGTCTAAGTGACCAGTTTCCTAGAGAGAAACAGAGATGCTTACCAAGTACTCTTTTCTTGCTCGTCTTACTTTTCTGGCCAGAAGAACATGACACAGAAGCAGAGAAAGAACACAAGTATGAGACTGTGCTCTCTGCTGTTGAACACCTCCAGAGACTCTATGACAAGAAATTGAAAGACATCCCTCCAAGGAAAAAGAGGATCTACACTCATTTCTTCCTGAGCAATGGGACTGGATTTGAAAAATTTGTCCACAAGAGTAAGTTTGAAACAATCACAAAAATGTTCTCCGTTTCAGAAAAACGGCTGAAATGGTTCAGTGGAGAAGTATGGAAAATGCCAGAAATGTCTAAATTGCTGAAATGTGTCACAGGCTGGATGGAAGATGAGAAGGTATTTCTGGAGGGTCCCAAAGGAATTAAATTTTATATCCCAGCTCTGAAGACATCCTCAGTACCCCACAACAATGAGAATGTCACTTTTTACCTGGGCTTCACTCTGAAAGGACCTGTTGCATACAACATTACAGTACAAACATAGACAAACGTATGTTTAGGGTAGATTAGGTGGTCCAAAAAGATGGTCCAAAATCTGTCTTTAGGTGCATTCTCATGAATTCTCATCCAAGAAGAAGGGCATTTAGGGTTGAGGAAATACTAAATTTAGCATGGTTGATAATGTAATTTACTGTAATTTTTACAACTGTCAGCTGTCAAAGTAAAACTTTAAATGTGAGATATTGTCTGTAAACCCTGCAAAAAATGCTTCTTGAACTTTTTTTTCCCCTTTGGATCTTACCAAAAACTAATTCTGGGGAAACAAAAAAAATATTAATAAGGATGGAGGGCTATTGATGT